AAAATTTTCATATCGGCGGCATATTCGCCGATACCGATATATCGGCGACAGGCTCATATCGGCAGATAATATCGGCAAAACGATATATCGGTCGGGCTCTAATTTTAACAATATATGAGTAAATGTTTAAAATAACAATAAATACATCAAACGTATTTCATTGTTAGTTCATGTTTACTAATGTAGCTAACTAATGTTACCTTGTTGTAAAGTTATCCATCATGATTGTAGTGATTTTCAAATGCAAAATTGGTTTAGTTGTTATGGATTATATATATATATATATATATATATAATTATTATTATTAGACACCATTATGACCCAGACATACTTTAGTGATATTCACCCCCCCCCAATTAAACAAAAATTTTTTTTATTATTCTGGGATGCATGAAGAATAGTATGCAGGAGAAGAAAGTTCGACACTCTTCAGCAATAAAAAATAAAAGAAACCAATATGTTTATATAAAGTCAGCCAATCAGAATCAAGGACCGGAACTCTCCGCTTTATAAAAATATTATAACACTTTACAATGAAATACAATAAAGTTAATACTCATTAATAATACATGAACAATAGTGAGCAATATGTATATAACAGTGAGCAATATGTTTATTGCAGTATATATCAGTCTTTGTTCACATTAGTTAATAAAAATACAAATATTCATTGTTAGTTCCTGTTAGCTCAGGTCCATTAAGTCATTAACAGATACAGCTTTTGATTTTAACTAGAGCCCGACCGATATGGGTTTTTTGGGGCCGATACCGATACCGATATTAGGGTGTAAAAAAAAGGCCGATACCTGAAGAATAGTATGCAGGAGAAGAAAGTTCGACACTCTTCAGCAATAAAAAATAAAAGAAACCAATATGTTTATATAAAGTAAATTGAGTTCAGTAGTATGGTTGCATTGGATCATCAAAGGTCAGCAGCAAAGACACTGGTTAATAAAATGGGATTTTTTATTATTATGTTATTTAACATTTAATTATTGCAGGTTTGCATCATATTTTGAGTTTGCACTGCACTGTTTTTATTCATTTTGAGGAACACTGAATCTGTTTTTGTGCAGGTGAGATGAGTAAATACATGTTCATATTTAATCTAGAACTACAGCAAGCAATCATGCTCACGCAGCATGCACAATGCACTTACTCCCGATTTCTCTCAACATGGCAACACGAGAGCTGTCAGTCAAGACATGGGAACAAAGTAACTGGCGTTACTTATTTGGAAAAGTAATTCAGACATTTCCCTCTAAAT